GCGGTTCAGAAGGTCTGCAAGCTCTGATTTTGCCTCGAGGAGGGAAACACAGCCGGCAAGCATTGATTTTGCGCTTAATTGACTGAGAGAATCTTTGAGTTTCTTCACGATTTCAGACATGGGATTTTGTGCAGCAATGTCTGCAAAGCCCTTTCCTTTCCATCTGGAGCCACTCAACTCCATAGAACAAGTTCTATGAATTAAAAAAATGCAAATTTTATGGATAAAAGCGTAATAGAATTCAGAATAGGGACATAGAGTGCTTGGATTCCTTAAAGTTTGAGATTTAAGTTATTAGGATTTAGAAAATTCAGTTTGACTGTTTTAAATCCCGAAAATTATCTCCAAATTTATTAAAATTGTTCGAAAAGTTCTGCCCAGTTGAGCAAACTCAATGTCTCTTTTTTCAAATCCCATAAATTTGTAGATTCATGGGATTTAGTAAATCTCCGAAATCCGTGAAATCTGAATTTATCAAATCAACAGCTTTATTTCGTAAAAAAAATGGCTGTCCGGGTAGATTTAGCCTACATCCAGATTAAATCCGGGGCTAACTTACCAGACAGCTACTTAAGGTACTGCAAGTTAAGGTGTCCGGTCAGGCATTTTATCGAGCAACTTGTGGACAACATTATTGCCATACCTTTTTGTTGATTAGGTCAAAACTTCTGGGCTTTTTCGGCGGTCCAGCGGTGGCTTTAGGAGAACAGATGATGCGGGAGGGAGAGTATGGGCAGAGGAGGAGGCTGTGTTATCGCGGGATAAATCTGGAAGAGAACAGAGTTTAAAAGAGACTGTGAAGCGGACGAGGAATATGAAAGGCGTGCGTTTATTCCATGCAGTACATACTCATTCCTATCTCCATCACAGCCAAATTTTTTTTTATAAATGTGATGGACGGTGGAGATCAAACACTATATCCATCTCAGCGTCCCTAATTTCTGATGATATCACATTGCATTCACTTTAATAATCTAATAATAAATGGGAAATTTACTTATATATCACACAATTAGTTAATTTTTACTATATCTATATATCTATATATACATTACATAAAAAATATCACTAAAATTATTTTTTTCTTTTTATTTGATCGTGACAATTAAGTATTTTTTAAGCAAATAAAAAATAAGTATTAAATATGTAAAATATAAAATTATATGGTTGGATTATATTTAAATACCTCGTAAAATATGATTGGGCCATTTACATGATAATATGGTATACCGCCCAATTTCTATGTATTTATCTAGCAATTTTTTTTTTCCATTTATACCACCCTAATCTTCCACATTACATCAAAAATATAACTATTTTTTATGTAATTGGGGCTCTCAAAACGCTCATTGTTCTAGAACAGCTCATATTCGGCTCGTGAAGAAGCTCATGTTCGGCTCGTTCCCCCAGTTAAAGAGCC